TAGTATGGACAAGTTCGATGAAAATCCACAGGTCTCTTGACCCGCATATCACTAGTCTTTCATTATTAATAAAAGGCAGAATCACCCCTATTTGAGTTATGTAATACTTACATGTGTGAAAGTCATAGTTGCGAAAAGAATTGACATCATAAAAAACATTGCACTTATCAAAATTTGTTTGATGAATAACAATATTCTTAACATATTTGTGCGTTTGCCTTTAAATATAAAAACCCAGGTTTATTAGACCTTAACCTTATAAATGTACGTCAATGAGTTTACCTTCAACAGATCCATGAGTACTTTTCATTGGATTTGAATTGGAACTTACGATTTTAAAGTATGTCAAGTCAAGTCTTTTGTGATCAAAGTTAAAAATTTATGCAAAAAAAAAAAAAAATTTCTAAATAAGTTAATATTTAATATTACGAAAAATAATAGATCGCTTTATACAGTATATCAGATAATGATTTTTATAATCCAATATTTTTAAAATAATTGATCGTATTTAAATTAAAATGTTTAATCAAAGTCTCTTAATGTTTAATAGTTATTTTTGTTAATTATTGAAGAAATTTAAGTTGGATTCATAATTGCAGAATTCATATATTAATGTGACAAAGTAATTAATCTATAAAATATTAATAATTGCTCAAAGTATTAATTGTTACTTATATTACATGATGCAATATTATTAGTAAAGATGAAGGAGAATACGTTGGTCATGACTCATAAAAAAAAAAAAAACTTTCAGCTGAGTTTTTGTTCTAAAAAATCATTTGTTATGCCCTCCTCTGTTGTCACTACTCCTTAATACGTAGCCATAGCAGGCAGTGTATATGGATGGAAGAATCGGAGGGAATGGGGCAGAGGAGTTAACAAATATTTCTCTGAATATATGAAAATTTTTTAATCAATAGAACGAATAAGAATAATGCAAATAACGTAACAAAAAAAATATTCATGATCACCTCTTATTAAGATTCCACCAAAAACCAGTTTGGGTACTATATCCATATTTTACACTTTCATCTAAATTCCAAAAATTCAATCCCCAAGGCGGTGACCCTCTGAAATAAGACACTTTCGTGAAATCTTCCTCACCATCATACTTGCATTTCCTCTAAATATAACCATTCATTATCCATGTCCAAGTGATCCTGTAATCACATGCCTCCAAAGAATTTGGATTAATAATTGCT